TGTGTGTGTGTGTGTGTGTGTGTGTGTGTGTGTGTGTGTGTGTGTGTATATGGTGTGTGGGTGTGCACACATATTGTATGTGTGTGTGTGGAAACCAGAGATTGATGACAGGTCTTCCTTAATCATTCCCTACATTTTTAATTTCATTTTGTTTTTTTTTCAAGACAGGGTTTCGCTGTGTATCCCTGTCTGTCCTGGAACTTACTCTGTAGAACAGGCTGGCCTTGAACTCAAAGATCCGCCTGCCTCTGCCTCCCCTCCCGTGTGCTGGGATTGAAGGAGTGGGCCACGATGCCCAGCTTACACTTTTTATGTTTGAGACAGGAGTTCCCTGATTGGTTATTCTGGCTGGCCAATGAGTTCCATAGATGTACTTGTCTCCATCATTCCCTCCAGCCCTGCCAGGATTGGGGTTGTAGACGTATATACTGCTACACCTGTCTTTTTACATAGGCACTTTGTATTCAAACTTAGGCCCTCATGTTTGCACAGCCGAGACATCTTCCCAGCTCTTAATTATAGGTATATTTAAATGTATTTCTTTAATGCCAGTCATCATCTCCAAACTTTTTGAGAGGAAGAATTCTGTTTGTTCTTATCATAAGCCTAAAGCCCAGAACAGTGACTGGTATGTATTACATGCTTAATTTAAGTGTTAATGTTTTTTAATTCGTATTCAATGTCCTGCTGATTCAAACAGGCTTCTCCCATCTTAGGTACCTAATTTTTAATTGAAACATCATCTAAAGAAGATGAACTTCCTTTCCTTCTTCTCCTAGTTAAACGTTGTGTGAAAACAGGTCTGAGTGGATTTGTTTCGAATCCCACAGGAGTATCTCTCCTTCCTTCACCCCTTCTTCTCTCCTTGCCTTTCTTTTCTCTATCCTTTTCCTCCTAAATCATTGATTCTATTTGCTTTCAGTTCTGACAGCATCCGTGGATATCAGAAATGCTGATAACATCACAGAGATCTGCATTTACTCCACTTGGATTCCTAATCTTCCTTCTCAAGGAGACCGTAACTGACTATGCCATAGCTATCAATCCCTTGGGTGGAAATAAAACTCAAGCTTAAGAAACTTTGACAAGCATGCTTACCGTTAGACAAACTCCACTTACCTGTAGTCCGTGGTACATGTATTTCTTAGCAAATCATTAGTACGTTTTCTAAAATTGAAACAAAAAAACGCAAAACTCAGAGAAAACTTGTGCCTGTGTAAATTTTCTTCACTGCCAAAAGCACCAGATCATCTGGCTAGTTCCCTTTTCTGTGATCACTCATCTCAGGAGTTGTATTTTGTGCGCTTACTATGCAGAAAATGTCAGTGGCTTATTATGGCTCCTGCTACCATCTTGCCTCCATTTCTGCCTCAATGGCTTTGCTCTTCAGTGAAAGAAACCAATTCCTTATGATTCATATAAAATGTGTTCTTTAAAAAAGCTGTTATACTATCTTTACTCCATCCATCTGGCAAAAACAATAACAACAACAACAACAACAACAAAAACACTTCCCTTAAAAACACTTCAAATTTTATTTCTTCAACACTATTATCCAGAATTAACACACTAAACTACTGTCTCTTGCTTCTTCACCATAGGGCTTTGCGTCTCCAATAGATGGTGTGAATGTGAGTGTGTATGTGTGTGTGTCTCTTGCTAATTTGGTTTTTAGGTTTCAAGCTTTCTACTGCTTTTGAAATGCCACTCAGATAAACATGACAGAACCCCAAGCAATAGGTGAAGCTGACGGATGGAGCCTGAAAGAGAACCCTAATCTGAAATACGTCCAGTGCACAACCATACTTACACTTCTGATTCCCTTTGATTTCCTCTGAAACCATTCTGCAACAAAAGGAAAAGGGAAGGTGCTTCAGATGAGGAGAGCAACCAACTATGTTTGGGAGCTGTCTCTGTGACCAGGTTCCTTAATCTGTAAGGTCACCAGCTTCATATATGCTAGCACTTTCCCTGAATCTTCTACCAACACTTACTACAAGACTTGAACACTGCCAATCAACCAGCTGTGAAATGCTATCAAGTTGCTGTTTTGATTTGCACTTTTCCCTAGAAGAATAAAGCATCTTTTCACATTTTCTGCCCATTTAGGTGTTGCAAATCCCTTCAGACAGTATCTATTCTACTGAATCAATTTTCTTTCTTTCTTTCTTTCTTTCTTTCTTTCTTTCTTTTTCTTTCTTTCTTTCTTTTTTTCTTTTCTTTTGTTTTTTTCTGATTTGTAGTTCTTAATAAACAGATTGGCAGAGAATGGGGAAGAATTTTTGCATGTGAAGAATGAAAATTAATAAAGAAAACAGAAAAGATCAATGACTGTTAATATCATAATTTAATAAGGACACAAGAAATTAAAATGTAAAACTTATGCAGTAGTAAAGGTTATTTTTAAGGGAAGAGAAAAAATAAAATTGGAAGCTTCAAGACTAGTAGCATACCACAAAATAAGACTGGGAAGAGAGGCTGGTTTCTGATGCATTCTCTGAGAAGTCACTTCCAGGTGCTGAGCAAGAAGCACTAGAAGAAAAGAGTAACTTGTAGGCATTCAGTCTAGGTTTTTGAAGGTTTACTTTTATTTATGTGTATATGCACGTGTCTGTGTGAAGGAATGCCCTGCAGGTGTGGGTGACCCAGGAGCCCAGAAGGGTTATCAGATGCCATGGAGCTGGAGTTACAGCTGGTTGGGGCCCACTTGGTGTGAGTACTGGGAGAAGGAAGTTGATAGGGATTGGACCCACAGCCTCAAACATGCCCACCCTCAGCCCACTCATCAACTTGTTACCCGAAACTCACGAGTTGTTTGTTATAGACAAGCTGCTTGGAAAGGCACTGGATGAAAATGTGATAAAATCGGAGGATGCTCTGTCAGTTTTCTGAAAGAAGGAACAGCCCTTAGCAGGGTCATAGGTCTAAGGTGGCCCATCACTGGATATACACAACTTCACATATTCTCCCAGTAGCCACCAAGTCCACAAACAATCACAAAATTAACACATTTTTCATAAATGTGTGAGCTAAGTTTTAGAAAGAGTCCTGAGTTGCCATAGAATTTGTATGTCCCTAGCACCCTGTGGCCCCATGGCTCATGGGTCACGGGTAGCACAAAGAATAGAGGTAGTATTCACTAAATAGCAAATACCTGCATTATGCAAACAAATTAACCTGAAGTCATTTCAAAGGAAATCACAAGTTAAATCTAATTGACAACACATACCACCGAGCTTTTCTCTGACAGCTTCTGATATGCCTCTTTAGCAGCCAACTGCTTTGCCTCTTGTTTTGTAGCAGCCAAACCAATACCATACGTTGTCTGCCCAATTTTGCATTTACATTTAAATCTAGGGGAAAATGAGAGTATTCATTCACATATCAAAAATATTGTCAATCTAATGTACAATTAGAAGAAAAGGACCCTACATACAAAGGCAACAAATCAGACAATAATTTTTACCTAGTTTTATATTTCCAACCTCACAAAAATGGCCACCAGTCTACCTGGATAACCAAGAGTGGTTGATATCCTGGTTTCTATTTCCCAGGTAACAGCTAATTCTTTCTTGATTCATTGAAAGATCTGACAGCAAAACACCAAGTAGTGAATTTTTTAAAAAAGAAACAACATCTTTTCACTTCCAAGTAAAAAGATTTAGAAGGAAAGAGGAAAGGAAGAGATACAGTGAATTTTCCAGAGCTGATCATATAGGGGGAAAAAAAATAGTTGGTATAGTGGGGCTCACAGCGGATAAGCAATGAGGGTATGGTACTATGGCCCTGGGGGAAGAGAGGTCACTGTTGATGTTCTCAGTACCTCCAGGCTCTAATCCTTGTTCACACATTATTGAGGTTTGGTCTAGTGCTACGTATACAAATACTAAATTCTGGGCCCTAAGATCTGGTTGCAGTCCAGATGAGTGCATTCTCACATCACCAGTCTTTGGTGTGTAAACTTTGCTCCCCAATTATCTCTGATTGATTAATAAAGAGGGCTGGACAGCCTGAAATTGGGCAGAAGAAAAGTAGGTGGAGCTTCAGCTCAGTTCCTGGACCTGAGGTCTCAGGTAGGGACCACACAAGGCCAGGGAGAGAGAGGAGAGAAGAGAAAATAAGAAAAGAAAAAGATGGAGAGAGAGGATATAGCCTAATGGAAAAGCCCAAACAGGATAAAGATTGGCAAGTTACTTGGGGAATACAGCTGGGAAATAGCCAGACTAACTTAGAAAATTAGTTTAAATAGTACCTGTCCAGTTATTGTGCTTTTAGGCTTTTTATATTAATCAATAGGTCTCTGTATCCATTACTGGAGAACTAGCTGGGTCATAGAAAAGCCCTCTAGAATTTAATAAATATTTTACAACACCTCACAGCCACCGTCTCCACAATGTTGGACTAGGACCACTTCTGCTTATCTATGGTATCTGTTTATCTAATGTGAAGAACAGACAGTAAGACAAGCAGCTCTATAACTGAAAATGGTAGAACCATTCAATAAAGGGTAGAGTAGTCTTTACAAGGCTGTGGCTTCCACGGCCTCAGGGAGGGGAAGAACTCTGCATCCCTCATGCATGGGTATCCTGAACCCTTTTAAATGTTTAGCAGACTAGTCATTTCAGATGCACCTCAAAAATCACCAGTTCCCCTTAGCGACAAGAGGCCAGCAAATGACTAGAACCATATGTTATATCAAACCCTAGAAATACACGTTATTCTTCTTGTACATTCCTACGATGACATTTAACTCATATATAGGCATAGTAAAAAAAATTAAAAACAGTCAATAATAAAATAGAACCATTAGTGTAATATACCCTGCTCCTAGGTTTGCAAAAGTCATCTTCTTCTCAGAATAGCTTTCTTTCATTTTTTATTTATTACAATTATTCACTTTGTATCCCAGCTGTAGCCCCCTCCTCAATCCCCTCCCAATCCCGCCCTCCCTTCCTCTTCTCCCATATCCTCCCCAAGTCCACTGATAGAGGAGGTCCTTCTCCCCTTCCACCTGACCCTAGCCTATCAGGTCTCATCAGGAATGGCTGCATTGTCTTCCTCTGTGGCCTGGTAAGGCTGCTCCCCTCCCAGGGGAAGGTGATCAAAGAGCTAGCCACTGAGTTCATGTCAGAAACAGCCCCTGTTCCCTTTACTAGGGACCCCACTTGGAAACTGAGCTGCCATGGGCTACATCTGTGCAGGGGTTCTAGTTTATCTCCATGCATGGTCCTTGGTTGGAATATCAGTCTTAGAAAAGACCCCTGAGCCCAGATGTTTTTAGTTCTGTTGCTCTCCTTGTGGAGCTCCTGTCCCCTCCAGGTCTTTCTGTCTCCCCCTTCTTTCATAAGATTCCCTACATGGGCTATGAGTCTCAGCATCTGCTTCGATACCCTGCTGGGTAGAGTCTTTCAGAAGCCCTCTGTGATAGGCTCCTGTCCTGTTCCCTGTTTTCTCCCTCTTCTGATGTCCTTCCCATTTCCCTTTCAGAATAGCCTTCTATGCCATTATCATCATCTGGCTGACTACAGGAAACTGAGATTTCAGAAAGCAAACCCATGGGGAAAAAAAAACAGCCAAATTTTATTCCAGTGAACCCCACAGCCTCAGTAATTGGGTATTTTGATTAAAGAGATATTTATAAATCATTAAAATCCTTCCACATTGAATGTGTAAAAGTGGGCAGATATTTCTGGAAAGTACATACGAAGTGTCTCAGTTTCATTGCTTGCATCCAGTGAAACAGTAGGAGAAGCCAAAGCACATCTCACCTTTCGGGAGACTGAGTGTCGGGGTCACACTGTTCATAATTTACAGGTAGCCTCTCCCTCTGGGCAAAGCTGTTGACAAGGCCTATGTAATTCCCAATGAATGAACCTTCTTCGGAAACATCTGTATGACTATCCGCCTACAGAGAAAAAAATGCTTGATACAAATCATGCATTATCATATGAAATTATTAAATAAGTAACACGAAAGACAACTTATATGTTATGGATTTCCCAATTATAGTTTCTTATTAAAAGAGAACTATATGTCTATTAGTAAAAGAAAAATGTGCAAAAAAATTATTTTTGATTAAAAAATCTTGATGGCACATTAAAATTACAAATATTTATGGTATATAACAGAATGCTGCACAATGGCTGAATTCAGACAATTGCCATATATTTTACCTTACATTCCTTTTTTTTTTTTTTTTTTTTTTGGTGTGGCAAGGGCACTTAAAATATACTCCCTTAGCAATTTATAAATATAGTTTGTTAATTCAGTCATTTTCCTTTTATAATTTCATTAAGAAAAGCCAGGTGCACATCTGATATCCCAACCCTTAGGAGTCAGAGGTGAAATGATCAAAGCCAGCTGGAGCTATACAGAAAGCCTGTGGCTAACCTGTGCTACACAACCTGAAGTCAGCCTGAATTAGAGAGTCTGAAGCAATCCTGAGCTACATAGAGAATCTAAGTCCAGCCTTAGCAACACAGAGAACTTGAGGCCAGCCTACCTTATCAAAACAAAACAAACTGGGCCCATTTCCTTGTTTTACTTTTTAAAGTTTTATTTTATTACCTTTATTTATTTTCAAATGTATGGATATGTGTGTGGCTGCACAAAAGCATGGGGGTACCGGAAGAGGCTAGAAAGGCATGTGACCCCTTGGAGTTAGAAGTGGTTGATTGTGAGCCAGCCAACATGGTGAACTCTGGTCCTCTGTAAGAGCAGGACAAACTGGAGATCTGAACCCTGTCTAGCCACACATCCCTCTTCTTTTTCCATGAAGAAAATATCGTAACACCTTCTAGCATGCTGCACCCTCTCTAAAACTCAAGACGGGGAGTAAAAGCAAGAGGGAAAGCTCTATGTTGGTTCTCAGCTTCATGGAAAACATGCATGCAAAAGCAGCGTTTTGATTATCTGAACCGTCATTGTCTCCCGTCAGACCAGGTTTGGTCCAAAGTTTCTCCATCAATCTTACCAAAGGTTTGGGTTTCATTGATCTTTATTTCTATTTGTGTTCTTTTACACAAATTCCTATCATTGTTATTATTGTCTTTCTTAAACTTTGAGAGAGGAAAGTTACCCCATTTTATCTAACTTTTTGACTAATTTTTTTTTTAGCTTAGTAAAAAGAGAATTAAGAGTTTTGCTCAGTTGATGCTGAATTGATTTTAAGAATGGCATTTTCAAATAAGATTATCTGGGAGTACATTAGAAGCTCAAACTTTCCAGTATCTGAGGATGCTTCTTCCCATCACTCACACAAATCACTTCACATCTCACTTTGCAGCCACTGCTCCAGCCTCCTGGTTTGGACACGGTTTGGATAACATAAACTTTTCATCACCCGCCTCAGTGTTGTTAAAAGTTCTCTCTTTCCCCCCAGGTCAGTGCTTTCCTAGGAATCAGCATTGCTCTTGGTACTTCTGTCTTTTTCTCTACCTATGAAGTTAATTTTATCTAATGTCATGTCTTTATTGCATAAACATTTTCTGCCCAGAGATC